AAAAAAAAAAAAAAAAAACACAAACCCTCAGGTGAAATTTTCTTCTATTGTCTAGGAAAATTCCCTTTAATTTGTCCCCAGGGCCATCCAGCCGCTTTGCAATTCCCAACTCTTGCCTCTGTCAACGCCAGCATCTGGGGGGGGGCTCCCTAGAGAAGAGAGAGGGGAAGCCGAAGGTCAGGGTTACCCACTGTGGCATGACTTTTAAGCTAAAGGGGGTTTTATTTCTCTTGTTGCCGTGTCAGGTTTAATTTGGCCTGCATTATTCCAAAAGGGTGGGCCTGCTCATGACAGGAGGGGGTTAAATGGGATTACAAGCTTTAGAGGTTGTCAGCAGCCACTGCTGCCTGGGGATGTAAAATTGCAATTTAATGGTCAGCTCTATCTGTATAGTATCAGTGGAAATCTGCTGTTTTCAGCAACTTAATCGGCACTGTGTTTTCAGGAGGGGCCGGTTTTGGGGGAAAGGGGGCCGGCGGGAAGAGCTGGCCCGGGGCGGGAGCGGCGCGGGCAGCCCCCCCAACGGGGCTCCGGCCAGCGGCCGGGCTGCCCGCTCCCGCACAGGGCTCAGCTTCCTAAGGGAAACCGGGCAGCCCAGCCACCCGGAGGAGGAGAGAACAGAGGCAGCGAGCAGCTGGAGGGGCGGCCGGAGGGACGGCCGGGCCAGGCTGGGAGGGGCGGCGGCCAGAGGAGCCCTCGGGCCGGGGGTGCCCTCGTGTGGGTTGTGCGTGTGCCGGGGGCGGGGGGAGTAAAACATGCTGAGGGCAGCCGGAGGGGCCTGACCGGCGGACACCGGCATTGTCTGCTGGCGAATGAGGGGTCAGCCCGGAAAGTTCAGGATTAGTAAATCTAATATCCTGTCAAAATTCTCATGGTAATGAGCCCCGGCCGGCGGAGCTGGCGCAGCAGCCCCGGCCCCGACGGTCCCCGCCAGCCATTTATGAGCAAGAGATTGTGCTGCGCTGGCACGGCCGGGCAGGGAGAGCGGCGGGGTGGCGGGGCCCCGCCGGCCCTCGGACGGGGAAACTGGCTCTGGGTCCTTTCCAGTGGCTCTTGCTCATTCCCAAGCCCTCCCAGCGCCTCCAGCAGCATCTTGGCCGCAGCGACAGAGGTGGTGTGCGTTTGGTTTTTCGTCTCCGTTGCAGGAGTTCCCCCGCCTTCGGCATTTCTGGCACTAAAAATAATAAGAAAGAGGGAAGAGAGGCAAAATTACGATATATTGCATTATAAACTGTTTTTCAAAGGGCTTTTCTCTAATTTACATGGCTGGTAAGTTTAAAACGGCAGAGAGGAAAAGGTGGGAAGAAAAGAAACAGCAGTGAAAACCAGTAGGATCACAATAAATAGTAAACTGTGGCCCCCAACAGAGTATTTTCTGAGCTGATGGATAATATTAAAATACAATTCCTAGGAGAGTAACAAAAAAGATGGGGGGAGGAGAGAGGGGAGGGGAAAAAAAAAAAAAGAAGGAGGGGGGAGAGAAAGTTCCTGTGCACTTTGTTCAAGGTTCTGCACCTCTCTAAGCAGCTGTCACATCCGTACATTATGGTACATTGAATCTGAATGAGGCTCTCCACATCAAAACCTTGCATCCATTATGATATCATCTCCTGCTCTAAGCTGTAATGCTTATTAATTCTG